GAGCCCGATGCGGGACTCGATCCCAGGACCCTGGGATCATGACCTGAGCCGAAGGCAGACGCTTAACCATCTGAGCCACCCAGGCGCCCCATGTAGCAGCATTTTTAAACCAAGATCTATGGATCACTGAACACATCATATCTTCTGAGTGCCTCACAGGGTGGTTAGTGAGTGGGTAGAGAGAACATGACTCTGTCAAGGAAGTATGGTGGGTGGAAGAGAGCTGAGGGGACAATTCTGGTGGAATTTCAAATGCTCATATGTGAGGGTTGTGGGCTAAAGGAGCTCTTGGCATATGCGAAAATGTTCCTAAGTACTAACTACTACTGTTATGAACGCTGTTCTTGACTTGAACTTGAGCTTCCACAATGCATGGCCCAGGACTGAGCCCCAGGACACAGTACAGAGCCAGGTGAAGACCAAGAGTTCCCATCTGTTAAAGACTCACTCGGTCCTGCCTCAAACACTTCCATGTCTACTCTCAATTAATCCTCACCTGAAAAATCAGTCTTCACCATAAAACTGCCTCCATTCTGCAGAGGAGCAAACTGAAGCTCAAAGAGATGGCACTAAGAACTCCTTGGGCAGGTGTCAGATGAAGAGTAGAATAAAGACTGACCTCCCTCCAGAGCCCAGCACTTTTTACACTGGTAACACTGACTCTCAACTGGGAGTGCTTCCCGCCCCCCGCCCCCCCAATCCAGGGGACATTTGACAATTTACTTTTGGATGTCACAACTGGTGGTGGAGCTGCTACTAGCATTTGGTAGGTAGGAGTAGGGATGCTGCTAAACATTCTATAGTGTACAGGACAGTCTTCCAAAACTAACAATTACCCAGCCCCACATGTCAATGGTGCCAAGGTTGAGAAATTGCACTAAATCAAGCAATGTGCCATAGAGACCCACTGGGAAAGTGACTGGTAAAGACAGGAAGAAGGACAGGAGGGAGGGAGATCACGTCCAGGTAATCTTGGGGGAACCCCTTTAAAAAGCAGCATTTTAGACTGGCAAAGGCAGTGACTCTGGAATTGGCTAAATCCAGTTTTCAAAACTTGCCACCTCTGCTGACTAGCTGGGCATGATGTTGAACAAACTACTGAAACCCCTGGGCCACAGTTTCCCTTTGATAAAAAAGGGATAACAACAGACACCTTGCAATATTATTATTATTATTATTATTATTATGTTTTTATTTTATTTAAATTCAGGTTAGTTAACATATAGCGTATTATTAGTTTTGGGGTAGAATTTAGTGATTCATCCGTTGCATACAACACCCAGTGCTCATTACATCAAGTGCCCCCCTTAATGTCCATAACCAATTACCCCATTCCCTCACCCTATTATTATTTCTTAAAGATTTACTTATTTTAGAGAGAGAGAAAGAGCACGAGCTGGAGGGGCAGAGGGAGAGGAGGGAGAATCTCAAGCAGACTCCTCACTGAGCACAGGGCCTGACGTGGGGCTCAATCTCATGACCCTGAGATCATGATCTGAGCCAAAAGATTCAGACACTTAGCTGACGGAAACACCCAGGTGCCCCTATTTATTTATTTTAGAGAGAGGGGCGGGGAGAGGCAGAAGAAGAGGGAGAGAAAGAATCGCAAGCAGACTCCCTGCTGAGCACAGAGCCTGATGTGCTGCTCCATGCCATGACCCTGAGATCATGACCTGTGCCAAATCAAGAGTTGGACACTTAACTGACTGAACCACCCAGGCGCCCCAACACCTTGCAATATTATTATGAGTATTAAATGTGAACAGGTGCTTGGTAATTGCAATTTCTCTTGAGGCCGAATAGCCCAGAGTAAATTGATCCTCAAATTTTTGAGGCCATAGAAGACCACCTTAGCTTTTATGCAGAGATTCCAGAGTGGGGTTCATGAATATGCATTATTAGTAGCCCCCCTGGATATCTTTTTTTTTTTAAGATTTTATTTTTAAGTAATCTCTATACCCAACGTGGGGCTTGAACTCACAAGCCTGAGATCAAGAGTCGCACGCTCCACTGACTGAGCGAGCCAGGCACCCCAGCCACTCTGGATATTTCTGATACAGCTAAGAGATCACAATATGAGAAAATTTGTTAATGTGCATGAGTCACACAGACTTCTGGGTTGAATCTGGATGCAGTAGTTACAGATGTGACCTGGTCCAGATGCAGACACTACATTTTTTCGAATTCTTATTCTTTTCTTTTGGTGGGGGGATTATTCTTTCTTCTTTTTTAAAAGGGAGATTCTTAAAAGCAAGGAAATCTATCCCAGAAGCTCCCCCCCTGATATTTTCCAGCAGTGTTATTGTCCAGGATTTAGTCATGTGCTCACTGTTAAAGCAAGCCCTTGCAAAGCAAAGGGGATTCCAATTACTGGTGAAACTAATCAGAATTTGCCTCCAGAGACTGAGAGGAACACCTTCCCTGAAGGATGAGTAACTAAACAAAACTACAGTTTGGGCAGAACAGACTTGGGGAATGGATGTTGGGGGCAACCAGCAATGTCTGTCACAGTGGTGTAACAGAGAAAGCCAGATTAACCTGGGTCAAAGGCCTTCCTCTACCACTTACTACTGAAGTGACTTTGGGCAGTTTCTATAATTGCTCTGAACATCAGTTTATTCTTATGAAAACCAGAAATAATGAGCATTATAGCATTCTTATGTAGATCAAACTGGATCCCCATATATAGCAATTAACACAGTGCATGGTCTCAGATAAGAACCCAACAGATACTACTAACAAATTTTATTATTCTCACATTCTTTATCCCACAGAACACTAATGCTATGCAATGGGTAAAAATTCTTCACATCCCAGAGAAGAGCTCCATATCAAGCAATGAAAAACAGAAGGTTGAAAGTAGAGATAGGGCCCCCTTTGCTGACTTCCTCTAGCACAGAATCCACATGATGTAACAATATTACTACATATTACCGGTAACTGTTCAAAGTCCTCAATTATAAACTCAAACCAAATCCTAAAACTTTAACCTCAATACTAAGCAAACAGCCGGCGAAGGGTTCTCATAGTGGGAGCTGGGAGTCTGGGAGAACCTGGGGCTGCAAGAGCTTGCCGAGCTTACCAGCATCTATGCAGTGAATCATGGGTGAGAGGTGGACCTACTGACTCTGAGTCTAGTGTTTCCCCTCACTAGGCCATAACTGTCTATCAATTTTTTCTTATCTCTATACCTTCAGAGTAGTTTTCTGCTAGTGAACAGGAGCCTTGAAATCCTCTTGACTAGGCAATCAGCCTGATAGATGGAATACATCTGAATAACTGTGGGAATATGGAGAACTATCCTCTCCCAAAGTAATAGCCAAGGGAGTGCCAATTTTTAGTATGACTGGCCACAAGTTTCAGGAGAGTCGGGTGTCCTGGTTGGAGTGGGAGCTTAGTGGAGGGTGATGTTGGCCATGAATAGGGATGCGGTAAGATGGTTCCTCAGATGAGACATGGCAATTGTTGAAATGTTTCAGGTGTGGGCAAGATGGAAAGCAACATCTCCATCCCAATGGATGGACCCAAAGAGATGCTCCATGAGCCTGCTGGCTACACGGTTCTGCGGATCCTGTCATTGGTGGTGCTTGGCATCACCTTTGTCCTTGGCGTCCTGGGCAATGGGCTTGTGATCTGGGTGGCTGGATTCCGGATGCCACGCACAGTCACCACCGTCTGTTACCTGAACCTCGCCATAGCCGACTTCTCCTTCACTGCCACCCTACCATTCCTCATTGTCTCAAAGGCCATGAGAAAACAGTGGCCTTTTGGCTGGTTCCTATGCAAGGCAGTTCACATTGTGGTGGACATAAACCTATTTGGGAGTGTCTTCCTCATTGCTTGCATTGCCCTGGACCGCTGTATTTGTGTCCTGCATCCAGTCTGGGTCCAGAACCACCGTACTGTAAGTCTGGCTACAAAAGTGATTATCGGACCCTGGATTCTTGCCCTAATCCTTACTCTGCCAGTTTTCATCTTCTTGACTACAGTAAATGATGGAACAGGGAATATACAATGTACTTTCAACTTTGCATCCTGGGGCAACAGTACTGAAGAGAGGATGAAGGTGGCCCTCACCATGTTGACGGCCAGAGGGATCATCCGGTTTATCATTGGCTTCAGCATGCCCATGTCCATCATTGCTATCTGCTATGGGCTCATTGCTGCCAAGATACACAAAAAAGGCATGATTAAGTCCAGCCGTCCCTTACGGGTCCTTACCGCTGTTGTGGCTTCTTTCTTTCTCTGTTGGTTCCCCTTTCAACTGATTGCCCTTTTAAGCACAGTCTGGCGCAGAGAGATGTTGTTGGAGCGTAAGTACAAAATCCTTACTGTCTTTGTTAATCCAACGAGCTCCCTGGCCTTTTTCAACAGCTGCCTCAACCCAATGCTCTATGTCTTTGTGGGCCGAGACTTCCGAGAGCGATTGATCCACTCCCTGCCTGCCAGTCTGGAGAGGGCCCTTAGCGAGGATGTAAACCAGACCAGTGACACAACAGCCAAATCTGCTTTACCATCTGCAGAAGCAGAGTTACGGGCAATGTGAGGGGGCTGGGGGACATTTTTGAGCTCTGCATGCTCTTAACCCTGCTCCCATTTCCAGCTTCATCTTACCTTGGGTCATGAGGAAAAATACTTTGGTGTCCCCTGACTTGTGGGGAAAAAAGTGACATAAGGTGTCATTCTGATTTTGGACCTCAGCCTCTACCCTGGGATAAAGTGGAGGTTGTCAAAGGGTACAAGGGAGGAGAAGAGAAAGTGATGGGGAATTTGTAAAGTTTAGGTGAGAGAGTATAGTAAGGGAAAAACTAGTTATTTTACCATTAAAATTTTGCTTAGGGTTTCTTTAAAGCTATTGTTAATCAGACTACAGAAATTTCTTTGTGTTCATAGCTTACTAAGAGTTTTCTTTTTAAAATCATGAATGGCTATTGGATTGTATGACTTGCATTATATGCGTATATTAAAATGATCATATAGTTTTATCCTTTCATTTGTATCATCATACATTACACTGATTAATTTCTGCATGTTAAACTACCCTTGCAGTCCCAGAATAAACCACATTTGGTCATGATGTATTTTGTCTATTTATAATTTATCTCTCTAGATTTGTTTAGAACTTCTGCATTTATGTGTATGTAAAGATGGGTCTCTTACTTTCCTTTCCTCTAGTGTCCTTGTCAGCTTTTACATCAAACTGCTGATGGCCCCCTAAACAGACTTGGGAAGTGATTCCTCTGATTCTTTTCTTTCATAAATGTTTAGAATTTCACCAGTGAAGACAGTTGGCTTTGGGTTTTCTTTCTGGGAAGGCTTTTAGTAATGAGTTCAATTTCTTTAATAGCTATGGGACTATTCAGATTTTCTATTTCCTCTTCTGTCAATTTTGGTAAACTGTGACTCTCAAGGAATTTAGCATTTCATCCAAACTGTCAGATTTATTGGCATGAAACAGTATGATAACTGTGTGTAGTACTTGGTATGGCTTCCTTCACAAATTGAGAATGTAAACTATCTGAAGACAGGGATTTTGGCCCATATTGTTCACTGATGGATCCCCACACCCTATGTATAAAATAGTGCCTAATGTGTGATAGACAGACACTCAATAAATATTGAATTAATGAATCAATAGACAATACTGTCATCCAGGTGTCAAGTAAGAACCTTTAATGTCTAGCAAAAATGATCTCTCACCCTCATTTCACGAACTGGGAGTGCCCAGTAGATTCTCACTGCAGTTTACAATATTTACAATGTCCCATGTGGTTTACATTTTTATGAACACCTATGGTTTTGAGTTTCTGCTTCAAGTAAAGCACTCTGGCTAACTGTTCCCTGGTGCTTTTGTTTTGAAGTCAGTCAGTCCATAATAGTACTCAGCCTTTTTTTTTTTCTTTCTGCAAACATGACTCACAAATTATCTGTTACTGCGTAACATACTTCCCTGATGCGCTGGCAAAAAAAAGAACTCAAACTAAACATTGGGTCGTCTTATTATCAAAAGTCCCTCATTCATTCTGCTGCTTTACTGTCATCCTCCTTCTCCCCTTCCCTCATGTCACCCCTAAAGTTTTGCATTTCCAGTGCACAGCAGTGTACCCATTTCATTTACATTTTTGACTCCTAGAAATGCTTTTTAGTTCCCAAGAAATGTCCAACTAAGGTGTGGTCATGGAAAATAAAACACAAGTAAGAAATGCAAGAGTGCAAAGCCAGGAGCCACAAAGGATGGTGTACATCTTCTCAATAGAACCAGTGCTTCCAAACTGGCTAATTAAGAAACTTGCTTCACTGTCAGGGCTGGGAATTCTTATGATGCCTGCTCACTGGCCTTGGTTATTTGCAACAGAATAGTGCCTGCTATATCCTCTCTACTTTTCTGTTCTTCACTGGAAGTCTTCATTGTATATGCCCAGTTCCTACTGCACCATTATGTATTGGGTCTCTGGAAGCTGAGGATTCTTTTAAGTTTATGGAATGCTTATCACAAAGAAACACTTATAAACCTCACTGAAGCTAAAACTCCAAAATAAAACATTGGGGCTATCACCCTTAGGAAGGATGGGATTACTTTTGTTTGGAAGAGTATACAGGGATGTTGAGGGGGCAAAGAGGTAGGATGTGGTAGACTGCCAGCTTCCTACCCAATATTCATCCCCCTCCATTACAAGAAGTAGGTGGATATTCATCTAACTAAATTAATACTTTCCTCAGCCATCCTTTCAGCTAGATGAACTTCTAGCAATTCTTAGCAATAACATGCCAGGTATATCAGCATGTAAAGAGCTTCTTCATTCTTTTTTTTTTTAAAGATTTTATTTATTTATCTGAGAGAGAATGGGAGACAGAAAGCATGAGAGGGGGAGGATCAGAGGGAGAAG